AATGAGTACAGAGCACTTGCCCACCGGCCTGGGCTGCTGGACATTCAAATGCCCTGTTGAAGAATGATGAGAACGTGCACTAAAATATTTTCAAAGAAGAAATTTTTATTTTCTCATTCCGACTATAGAAAAACCTGAATACTGCTGTCCTGAAATATATGGCTTTTAGCAAAACAACTGCCAGTAAATCTACCTGAAGAATTACTTGCAAAACATACCCTTAAGTAAAGAACTTAACCTGGGTTTTAGTTATTGGATCTGAGTCAATTAAATCCAAGGACATGTTAATAGTTTTAGTTTTGGAACAGGTCTTAATTCATTCTTTCTGATAAACAGTAAGCAATAAGATCAACTATATTCATCACAATATTATTCATCATAATAAAATATCACCAGCATATAGAAGATAATGGACCTTCTTAATCTCTAAAGTATGTGTACAAATAACCCAAAAGTGGTTTCACATTATTTAGATATAAGTAAAAAACTAGAAGTGCCACAATTAGACTATTTTATGCTATTTGAAATACTTTCTGATCTGTCTGGCCAACAATTCAGTTAATCTGGACTTTCAAGGTCATGCAATAGTCTTGATTTTTTAAGAACTGAGATTCTATATTTAACACATTCAATTTAATCTCAAACTAGTTTTTATTCAGAATTAAAACATGAAAAAATCAAAGTTGCACATATCCTTTTTAAAACAAGGCTTATGTTTGCTACTTTTAAAATAAGAAAAATTTAGGGGCTGGGGAGGTGGCTCAAGCGGTAGCATGCTCGCCTGGCATGCGTGTGGCCTGGGTTCGATGTTGCGTCCACCGATAACTGAAAAATAAATATTAAAAAATTCTCTCCCTCTCTCTCTGTTTAAAAAAAATAAAATAAGAAAAGTTTACATTATTATTTCCAACTATTTATTTTGAAAAATTTCAAACCAGTTGCTGTAGTTTGGATCTTGAATGTCTCCTGAAGGCCCATGTACTAAGGTTTTGGTCCCCAGGGTGGCACTTTTGGTAGATGTAGAACCCTTAGGAGGGGGGCTGAGTGGAAAGTCTTTAGGTCACTGAAAGCATGCCTTTGAAGGGCATTGGGGAACCCTGATGCCTTCCTTGTTCTCTTTTTGCTTCCTGGTCATGAGGCAAGCTGTTTAGCTCCACCACACACTCCTGCCATATATACTGCCTCAGTCTAGGCCCCAAACAATAGCGCCAATTGATCATTGGTTGAAACTTCCAAAACTGTGAGCCAAAATAAATATTTTCTCTTTATAAGATGATAAGCTCAGATATTTTGTTATAGCAATGGAAGGCTGAGTAATAAAAAAAACAGAACACACTATGCAGAACAAGCCACTCAGTTACAAACACTGAGTCAACACATTTATGCAGAGCTTCTTAGCAAAGCGAAAAGGGAAGAACAGCCTGTTATATAATCCTATTGCTTATGAAGAGAAAGAACATCTATTACTCAAGAGTAGCCAAATATTTCATGACTTTTTACTCAGAAAAAATTCTTTTGCGTTCATAGAAGGACCACAGAGAAATATCATATACAACAACCCTACAGTAAATACATCAGTAAGTTCTGTGAGCTGTTTTCTAGAATCCCTCATGTAAGCAGAGGGTACATGGTCTGCAGGTAGCAGAATGGAGGTTAAGAGCATAGATTCTAGCATCTAACTATCTAGATCTGAATCTGGCTCCATCACTTATTAATTCTGCAGTGACTCTGAGTGACTATTTAGCTTTTCCTTTTTTTTTCTTTTTTTGGTCCTGGTGCTGGGGATCAAACCCAGGACCTTAAACATGCCAGGCAAGTGCTCTCCCACTGAGCCACATCCTAAGTCCTTCATTTATAAAATACTGTGATAAACAGTAGCGTTGTTGTATATGCTATCACTCTGTGGTCTTTCTATGTGGTGCTTCTAAGGGCTGTTACAAAGTTTAAATGAGTGAATGCCCATAGCACATTTAAACTCAGGTAAAAGAACAGGTACAGGAATTATGTACTTGGCACACAGCAAGCATCACTGTTACTGAAGTAAATGCTACAGTGAAAATACATTATGCTCATAGTCAGAGGACAGGCATTTAAATCAACTAAGGATTCAAGGGAAGGCTTTCTGGAGAGAGGACACCTGTGCTAGGTCTAAATTTCAGTCTGCTACTTAAATAGTTTTGACCTTGGCCAAATAACTTAAATTTTATTTTCCATTTGCTAATACTGAGCTATGTCAATGGCTGATATAATAAGCTAATGCTTGAGAAATTAAATGTGACAATATATAAAGATTAGATAAGCAAAGTACCAAAACATGGCATTTATAACCATGAATGTTTCCTCTTGGAGCTTATGAAAAAATAAAGTACTCTTGCATTCAACTCTCATTTGTGGCCATTTTCTCAATTAAAAAAAATTAGGTTTAAATTTTTTTTTTAAAAAATTAAACATTTATTCAGATTACAACCAAACTACTTGGAAGGAATGTTAAGTGATATCACTGGCTTAGCACAGCTCTCCTGGCCGTTTTCATACTCTTGCTTTCATATATTCTTGTCCATTTTTGAGGTGTCCTGTGTCTACCTGACAGTGTAGGAAATTCATTCAATATCCTGACTTCACTAGGCAGAATGGAATGGTCCCTTTCTGAATCACTTTATACAACCCTCATTTTGCCTCGTCCATATTCTATTAAAGCACCTGGTGTACTGCATTATAGTCATATTTATACCTTGATTTTTAAAGAAAAATAACTATGGCAACTACCATACGTATGTGTTTTTTTTTCCAAAATGTGAGTTTCTATGACTGTGTGACAGTCATAGAATCTGGACAGAAGTTGGCATATCAATATATTGACTTACAAGGTTTTTGAAATGATCTGAATGGGATTTGATGTGTGCTGTTATAAGCAAATGAATCTAATACAATTTTATATTTTCTCCCTGACTGATCTCATCAATGCCTATGGATTAACTGAACAATTATAAGTTCATGTTCTCCACATCTGGTTTACTTTAATCCGAGTTCTTTCCTAATTCATAGACCTGAAGAATTTGTTTATTGGACATTTCCCTCTAAAATGTGGAGGTTGCCTCCCTCAGGTTACATTCACACTATTATAGTTCATAGGGGGCCTAATAAATTGTACCCTTCTTTTCTAGATGAAACCAACTGCCATCTTCCATTATTGCTAGCTTCCCACTGTTGTAACACATGACTACAAACTTAGTGGCTTAAAACCATATAAATTTATTATCTTAAAGTTCTAGAAGTCCTAAAATCAAAGTGTTGACAGGAGCTCCAGGGAAACTACATTTCCTTGCCTTTTCAAGGATGTCTATATACCTTGGATATCCCTACCCCCCTGCACCTGAGAATCAAAACCAGGTCCTTGCGCTTGGGTGAGGCAAGCACTCTACCACTGAGCTACACTCCTAGCCCTCCTTGGATCTATCTTGGAGGTAGACAGTGAAGCATTTTCAAATCTGTTTCTCTGACCTTTGCTTCCTTCTCCTTTTCTGACATTTCTGCCTGTAGCCCAGCCATTCATTCAGTATAATCTCCCTGTATTTGGAGACTTTTCACCACACCAGGTGACCTATTCACAGGTTCTGGAGATTAAGATGCAGTCACCATTGTGGGCCCATTTTCCTGTATAACAGAATTGACAAAGCAGATATCTGATATCACCTGTGGACAGTTTCCTTATGTTATACTCTGGAAATAAACAGGCTTACTTGCTTTGTAGCTCTGGCCTAGAAAACTTTACCACTAGCCCTTGCCCCTGCAGAAGAGAGAAGAGAACACAAGGACAGTTCCCTGAAGACAACTCTTTTCTTCTTTAATTTTGTTTTAGTATAGGTGGACACAATAACCTTTATTTATTTTTATGTGGTGCGGAGGATGAACTCAGTGCCTCACATGTGCTAGGCCTGTGCTCTAGCTGAACCACAACCCCAGCCCCCCCCCAAAATTCTCTTTTGAGATAACTGTTTCTTCTTTTAAGTTCATCAATCAGGAAATCACTTTTCCAGGGAGGAGTGAGTTGGGGATCCAGGCAGGGAGAAGCCAGAAGTATTATACTAATGGATGCTGCTCTCTACGGAAGGAGAGTGGAATAAGTGTTTCCAAAACAAAAAGATCTACATCTGAATTCATCATCCTATCTCACAGGTCATCGTCACTATGTAGTATATTAGACACTTTCTTCCCATCTTGCTAGTATCTACTCCAGCACTTACACTAGAATTATCCATTTATCCCAGTGCTGGCAATTGTACCACCTAAACAGTGTTCCCTTCCTCTGCATTCCCATTGCCAATGCCTTAGTTAAGATTCTCAACACTTCTTGTCTGAAGGACTGCAATGGCCTCAAACTGGGTATCCCTGGCCCAAGCCTTGGTTTTCCCCACTATTTTCACTTCCTACATTTACTTCTTTCCCTGGAATTAAGTCTTTCCTAATTAGTCTCCCCAGATCCCTGCACCTCGACCCCACCTTGCCCTGAAGGAAGTAACTTCCAAGGGGAACTGATTCTCCAATATCAGCCAGGCTCACATCTAATTTGCTTTCAGATTTCAGTGAATGCAAAGTCCACACTCTCCACTTCTCTTGCGCTACTGTCTTCTCATGAGAAAGTAAAGTGAAGTGGGTTTCATCCTTTACATAGTGTCTCCGCATACACTATTCCGTTTTAGCCTCAAAACTTTCTAGTGTGGGCAGGACGGATATTATAATTCCCACTTACAGAACGAGGACTCTGAGGCATGGCAATTCAAGGCTCGGGCCATTACACCCTGCTGCTAAGTTAACGAATGTCACTCAGCCCCTTCGGGTCCCACTCTTGGAGAACGTTCCAGCATCTGGAACTTGCAGATCCGGTCCGCGCCGGTCCGGACGAGGCCACTGCTCCGTCCACAGGTGCCCTGGACCTTCCCCTCCGCAGTGACGCGCACCGGTGACGCTATACAGTGACGTATGGTGACGTGACTTACCCGGAGCCAGGTGCCCGCAGGGTGGCCACACCCTGGGGGGCCCTGCTCAGCCGGGGCAGCGGGTCTGGGTGGTGGAGGAAAGCCGCAGAACCCGCCCGAGGCCCCTGGGGGCCTAAACCCCGGCGGTTAGCCCACCCAAGAACGGTCGGTTGCTAAGTGACGCCAGCGCGCAGAGGCGCGTGCGCGGCCACGGCGGTGTGCGTGAAATCGGACGCGCGCCGCGGCGGCGGCGGCGGCAGCGAGGACGGCACCGAGGACGGCAGCGACGGCAGCGACTTAGGGGGCGGTGGCTGCGAGGCGGGCGCGCAGCTAGCGGAAGAGGCGTCTGTGGGGGCGACTAGGTCGCAGAGGAACATCGTTGGGGTGAGTAGCCAGGGCTTCGCAGGGGAGGTGGGGCCTGGCCGCACCTGCTGCGCGGGCCCGGGGCGCGGGAACGCGCGCCCCCACCGTATCCGCGCGCGCCGCTTCCCGCCCTCTGCCGCTTTTTTCCGGGGGCGGGGAAGGAGCGCGGACGGGGGCTGACGAGGGTCAGTTCCGGGACCCCGGCTCCCGGGAAGCGGTAGCAGGAGGTCGGGGGAAACTCCTAGTCCTGGAAAGTGTAGTGGGGAGTAGGTGTCTGGGGTTTCAAGGTGGCTCGGGCTGGCTTCCAAACTGAGGAGTTCGAATTAGAAGCCCAGGTTCCCTAGCAGCCTCGCATCCTGCCTTAGGAGCAGTGGCCCGAGACCCACGGGAGGCGACACCCGAGGCCCCCAGGGTTGGGGCTGGGAAAGTCTGGGACTGCTGGGGCCTGCATCTCCCCTGCCCTGTCGCATCTCCGAGTGGGAGCCGGTTGTTATGGAGAGAGTTGTGAATCAGTGCCTGCGTGAGCGTCAGACACACCCACGACCTGGGGAAGGCGACCTGTCAGTGTACATACCTAAGGCCAACCTGTTGCCTGCACTTTCCAACCTCACGTGTGTGTCCACGTGCTTCCCTGGCATTTTATCTCGGTGGTGTTACAGATTTTGAGGCCAAGGGGCTGAAGCATCCTCAGTTGTTACTTCCTTTCCATGGACTCAAGTCTGCTGTTACTTTTCCCAGACCCATGTGTGCTTTTGTCATTATTAAGGCCAAGAAAGTATGGAAGCATTATTTTTGTTGTTATTTTTTCCTCAAAGAAGTACAGGCTTGCTGTTTACCAGGTGGAAAACAGAGATTCTGTTCAACGTGTGGGCTTGATTGGAGAAGCTGGAGTGTAGAGGTGCAGCGGATCATCAGCCCAGTGCTCTCTTCTCAGTGGGCCTGACTCCTTCGTAGGTAGTTGTGTGGTGGTTGTAATTGCCATCCTTAGGAAGAGGGGAACATTGAAGATAGAAAAGAAGTCAGTTTTTTCTGTAACTAAGGCATTGCCTATAATCTGTAAAAGATAGTCTACTGAAATTTAATCAATATTTGTGCAAGAAATTTGGGGAATATTAAGTTTTCATTAAAATTCTGCAATTAAGTTTTATAACACAGGATCTGAAAAGAGTTATGTTACCTGAGATTCTTATGTCTTGGAACCAGTAAACCTTGTTTGGTAATACTTAAAAGTACTCTGAATTAAAACTTTCCTCTCTGAACCCCAGTACCTTTTAGAACAGGAATTGCCTGTTTTCTTCTTTGCCATATCTCCAGCACATAGACAAGTACTTGCCATAGAGTAGGCACGTATTTGTTATGTATCACACTCTGCCTAAGTGGTTTATCTATACAGAAAACATTTTGTGCAGTCCTTTGTGTACTTAATACATGTGCCCTGTCTCTCTAGTGTTATGCTAGCTATGGGAGGAAGATTGTGGGGTTGCAAATGATATGAAGACCTGGCACTTTTCCTTCAAGAGCAAACAATCCAGCTAGTAAAAGAAAGCAGGTATATAAAAAAGAATTATGAACCCAAACGAGATACTATGTAAACTGTGATATGAGAACTATAAGTACAATGAAGATTTAGAAAAGATAAAACATGTGGTCTGATTTACAGAACTCTTTGGAAGAAGTAAGATCTGAGCTGGTCTTTGTTATTTACTTATTTATTTTTGCTACTGGGGATTGAACCCAGGGGTCTTAGCCACCAAGCCACATCCCCAGACCTTTACATTTTAAAATTTGAGACAGGGTCTCCCTACATTGCTTTGGGTATCACTAAGTTGTTGGGGCTGTTCTGGAACTTGCAATACTCCTGCCTCAGTCTTTCCAGTCACTAGGATTACAGGTGTGCACCACCATACCTGGCTTGAGCTGATCTTTGAAAGAAGTGTAAAAATTTGAATTTTAAAAGAGATCCAAAATCATATGCTGAGAAGTTGATGTGAATTTGGTTATTGGGAGAATATATTGAGGAGACTTATATGGCTAGAGCAGAAGTTCTCAGGGGACTAATGTAGAGATAAGGTTCAACAGGGTGGGAAGGGAAAGTGTTAAAGATAAGGCAGTCTTATCAACATCCCATTGATTAACAAGATAGAGCCTGCATGCAAGATGGAGTGGGGGTTGTATTAGAGTAAAGTTAAGATAAAAATAAGTGTTATTCTTAAAGGATATTCTACCCAAAGTAGTATCAGGTTGTTATACATAGTTTAGATTTTGATTACTAATTGGAATAAAGGCTCACTAATGCGCATGCACATGTCTCTGTTTCTGAAACCTACCTGATTGTGCTTACACTTCTATTGTAAATTTACTGAAATGATATACCCAAAGTAGTTATCCAGCCATACTTAGGGACACAGTTTCACTTGGGATTATATCTCATAGTGGCCTTCGAGGCTTGTAGTTACTGCTGATCCTACAAAAACAGACAACAACAACAACAATAATAAATATTATTGGGAAAGGAGTCAATCTGAAGAAGGATACTCAAAAATATTGATAAAAAGATTTGACAATAAAGATGCTGCTGCTGAATATTGAACCTTTAGTCTTTATTTATGCCATTTTTATTGAAAATTCTTTTGAGTGGTGTGTAAAACTTGCAATTGAATTGCTAACCAAGATGTGTAAAGTTTCACAGCAAATGTTGAATTATTTAATGACTCAGCAAATATTTATTGCGTGCTGGGTATGATTCGCCATGCTGTTGGGCATTGGGAAGATATAGATGAATAAGACACAGTATTCCCCCTGACGTGCAAGTGTTCATCAGAGATCAATCACTAGTCATCCATGTTGTGATTAGTTAAACAGTTTTGGAATGAATAAAGTGCTGGGGGAATAGAGAGATCATTTGGGGATAATAATTGATAGTCAGGGAAAGCTTTAAGAAAAGAGGATGAAGATTAAGTAGAATTTTGCCACATGTAAAGGGAAAGACAACATTCCAGGCAGAGGAGTCAGCACAGTGTTGCTGAAGATCAAAATCGAATGGTTTATTTTTTGAAATATCCTGAGTTGTTTCTTGTAGGCTTGATGTATGACAGTAGTGATGAAAGAAAGTAAAGACATGTTTTTGCAGTCAATTTATGGGGGAAATCTTCAAATCCATCCTGAAAGTCTAGGGATTGGCCCCTCTCTCCCATTTAATTGGCACAGAGAGCCATGGGAAAGAGTAATAGATCAGAAAGTTAATTGACACTTGGGAGAAGATTGCATTAGAGTTGGCAGGGAGGGCATTTACAGTGTAAGTGAGCTATATTGGTAGCCCACAGAAGGAGAATGGGAATGGATAGAATGCAGAGATGTGTTGGATGTTAAATTTTTAAATTTTATGACATCTAGGGTGAGGCAGAGGGAGAAGTCAAAGATGACATGTCTACTTTGAACAATTGGGTGATTATGGTGACATTACATTAAAAAAATACAGAAGAAGAAATAGGTTTACATTGGAGTGAAGAAATGAAGTCATGTTAATTTAAAAGTGTCTGTGAGGAGTTTAGAGAGATCCACTAGGTAATTGAGGGTTCTAGGTAATTGGAGTTTACAAGATTACGAACAGTTGTAATGTAAATGACAACTGAGGCTGTGGAATATCAACCTTCTAGAATGCATATTGTGCAGTAGTTAACTTCAGGGCTTTTGAAGTTAAGACCTCAGGTCAAATCTGTTAGATCATTCTTGTCTAGATCAGTTGTTAGTCTGTTTTGTATTTCGATAACAGAATACCAGAGACTAGATAATTTATAAAGAACAGACATTTATGGCTCAAGCGGTAGCGCGCTCGCCTGGCATGCGTGCGGCCCGGGTTCGATCCTCAGCACCACATACCAACAAAGATGTTGTGTCCGCCGAGAACTAAAAAATAAATATTAAAAAAAAAAAATTCTCTCTCTCTCCTCTCTCACCTCTCACTCTCTCTTTAAAAAAAAAAAAAAAAAAAAAAAAAAAAAAAAAAAAAAAAGAACAGACATTTATTTCTTCACATTTCTGGAGGCAGGGTTGGGGAGAGTTTACAATAAGATAGATGAAATGGGAAAAACCCAGTGGAAAGAAACGGGAAGAAGTGTAATTACAGAAATGTGGATGTAGAAGAATCTGAATTTAAGGATTGTCTGCTTGAGTCTTACCCATCACATATACTGAGGACTGCTGGCAAATATTAGCTCTATTCTCTAATAGAAAGTTGAAGGAATTTCACTATAGAAGGAAGTCAAATAGTGGTTGTGCAAATTTACAAACACATCTGTAAAGAGATTTTAGGAGTTAAATTGAAGCTTCTTGAAAAGCACCACCATGTTTCCTAGGTGCTTGTTCTTTCTCATTTATTTTCTCAGCTAGTATTCATTAATTTACTATTTCCCTAGAAATTGTGTGAAATGCTGACCACAGAGAAAGGATAATTGCTCTGGGCACTTGAGACTACCTTTAGTTAGGAGAAATGTGTGTTCCCATGTATATTTTGTCAGGAGAAGATGCCTCACTTTATAAACTTAAGACTATAATGATATGAATAGATATTGAGGACACGGAAGTCAAATTCATTCAGTGTTATGTGTTCAAGAGGCCATCTTCATGGTAATTATAGTGATATATAGATTTTTTTGCAATCAAATTTATAATTTCATAGAAGAGAAAACATTTGGAGTGCTACAAAGAATATGATAAGTCTATATAAGTGTTGACTAGGTACTTAATACTTGTGGAGTGGCTAGGTGTGTTGTTTTGATTTCAACTTGTAAGCTATTTGATGTTTTAGAAATTATAACAAGTTATAATTCCATTTTAATCTCTTGGCTGCCTTTTGCATCTGAATGTAAGAGGCAAAAATATTCTGATGGTATGTCCTTGTTTTCTTGATCTGGGAGGTATACTCACCATGCATTTTTTTAAGCCAATGTTCTATTACTATAACAGATACCTGAGGTTAATCATCTTAAGAAAAAGTTCGTTTGGGCTAACAGTTTTAGAAG